TTTACCATTCACGCAACACTATTTATACCAAAAAATCACCATATCTATTGACATCTAAGTTCAACTTGGGTTTGGATTCTTGCACGTTCTTCTTGTGTGCCCAACTTGTTTGCATGTGCTACAATGGTAGATCTTCCTATTCTGGAACTGTGACTCTCGTCTTTTTATTTTAGGCCTTCCTGGCAGTCGATTAGTCAAAGGCGATGCCAAGAACACTTGACTTCCTATATTTTCCACCCAGTAATTGTTAGGATTTGGCATGTCTACTGTCGCCACTGGAATCATACTCCTGCCATAAATCTTTTGCTGTGATGTAATCTTGTAGCATTCATCAACAAAATCATAGACATTGCAATTCACAGCCTTAATAGCTGCACAGGCATGGGGACATGGAATGCCTGACATTTGCCAAGCTGCACAGGTGCATTCGCCTAGACCAAGATCAACATGTACAGCTCCTTTTGCTGTATGGACACACACCCTACCTCCTCCATAAGGTACACTCAGCATGCATGCTGATCTAGCAACATTGTCCACCAATTTTGCATCTATGTTTGGGCCTACACCATTTTTCCAATTACTCATTGCTATGCTTGCTGCATACATCTTCTTTGCCACTTTCTCACGATGCTCATGTATAAGTTGGGCAACATTATATCGTCTCTCTTTCAACATCCAAGCATTGAATGACTCAGCAAGGTTTGTTGTGATGTTATCCCACCGTTTAAATGGGAATTTACTTAAGGCCCACCTTTCAACATCACCATGATTAAGAAGCCACTCAAATAATTGTGGATTGAACTTTCTCATGTTATCCATTGCACCATCAAACTCGGTGTCAAGCCTTGCATATGCAATGGCATCCAGGTATTGCAGTCCCTCCTCCCTTGCTTTCCCACTAGTCTTCCTCTTTCCTCTATTTAATTTAATCATTTGTGCACTGAAGTTTTCCTTAACATGTCTGTAACAGTATGCATGCCTCTCACCACCAAATATTGCTTACACGGCACCTATTATTGCATTGTGTCGATCTGACACAATTGTCAATTCCATCGAGCCAACTATCTCCTTAATCATATATAAGAACCATGTCCAATCCTCAAGTGTCTCTCCCTTTACAATAGCAATCGCAAAAGGTAACAATTCGTTGTCAGCATCATAAGCAGACGCCGACAGTAACGTCCCCTTATACGGTCCACTTAAATGACATCCATCAATGTACAGTACATGTCTAGCACCAGCTATAAAGCCTTCTATACAACACCCATATGCTATGAATGCACGCTCAAATGTGTTATTAGTATTACCCACCCATTTGGCCACGGTTTTGTTATCTGTTTCCTTCAACCGTTCACATATCCACGGAATAAGCATATAAGACTGGTCAGGCCTGCCATGTATGTCCTCTAAAGCTTTTTGCTTCGCCTTGTATGCTTGTTTATATGTCAACTTCATACCATAATCTCTTTCTAAAGTCTTCCTTATATCATTTGGATGCGTGTCTATGTGATCATTTACCTCATCTGTGATGATTGATGCTGTCAAGCTAGCTGAACCATAATGTTCCACACGAAGATTGTCTTGTGCATTATGGACATGCTCATTTATGAATGTTGCCACACGTAAAAAGGGAGTACTCTTTCTACCCACTCTTGCACTTATCCTCCACGGACAACCTTCAACACTACATTTCACATACATTTTTTCCCTACAATTTTTCACATACTTGTACTCAAACTTGTTTGCAATACTGAACTTATGTACTTTCTTCTTGAAATCTTCTGCATTTGCAAAAGTTTGGTTCCGTCCTAACAACAATTCCTTCCATTTCAAAGAATTCATCTCCGGCAAAGGTGTAGGTGCACTCACTACTCCGTATGGTAGGCTTACATTAGGTCTTTCACTGCCTCCAGAACTTGTACTTTCCAAAGCATTTCCCTCCCACGTAGGCTCATCACTCTGTTCTGACAGTCCTACCATTCTTGAGATCCTGCATTTATAATTACCACTGTTGTTAAGAGATTTACTACAATATTACAACAATTATCAACTTTCATAACCACCAAAAAAAAATTTCTCACTTACATTTCTGGATAACCCATTCCTTCCTCCACATTGTCATTACCTTTACGTGCTATATAAATATGTGCATTACGGTCATTATATTCAAATGGATTATCAACTTCACCATCATCTATAAGATCTACCAATACCCTCTCATCAAAACTCAAAGTGTATTTAATATCACGGCCATGACAACCCATGCTGAACCATTCGCCTATCATTGCCCTCAAATCTTCAAGTTTTGTACCCTCATTTATTACTCTTACTCTGACAGTCCCACCACAGTATTTAACTTCGCCATTGTCATTTTCCACAAACTTCCCATCTACGTGAAAATAACAAGCAAGTCTTTTTGAAGATGTTGATACAATGTTACAAGACATCACCACTTGCTAACCTGCAGCAAACAACATTAAATATAAAAAAATTAACTTCTCCGCCAATTAGTTTCCATCAACGTACGTGACACCCAAAACACACACAAAGAGAGAAACTTTTCTTCTATTCGCAACTTTATTATAGGGTTTCACAACTCCATTATTGATTTTAACAACGTTCATCACTTGAACGCAAACTTCACGACTACGTAATTGCTTGCCACCTTTCTTGATTTCCGCTACGTCATTCGAAATAGTCAATATAAAGTATAAAACCTCATCTCCAGCACACCCGTCCCCACCATTGCGCCATAAAGCAGACACAAAAAGGAACTACCCAAACCCCACCATCAGTTAATGCGACATGTTTACTCTCTCTCTTGCTACAAACCCTCTTGCCCACAACCAAAATCTATTAAATCAGCAATCCCAAAAAAATGATGATGCGGAGGAGTAAGATTATACCATTTCCAAAGACTACCGACTTAAACTCACCTCTTTTCAGCTCTGATGTGTTCTTCCAGCGTTTCTCTTTCCTTCTTCATGTGCTCAACCGGTGCTCTATCTTTATTTTCATTTCAGTTTCACCTCATTTTACCTCACTGATAAGGGCATTTCGGTCTTTTGGCCGAAAATATGAATTCCAAATTGGTACCCAGTGCCTTATTTGTCATTTTGCTTATTCAGGTCCCTTATTTGTCTTTTTGGAATTCAAATGGTATTTTATTGTCATTTTCCCTATTACATATGCATGGTGAATTTTATGTTATGGTTTTTAGAGTTGAGAAAAAGAAAAACCCCAAAATATTGATTCTTGATGACCCAAGAAATGTCGCTGACAGAACTTTCAATACAGTTTTCTATAATATTTTCACTTAATGGTTTGCTTTGCAAAAAACTTGTGTTTTATATTACTGCTTCTCTTGGCTTTCTTTGTATATATATGCTATTAGTTCAGTAACAATTTTCCTATATATACATTTTATAGGTGTGCTATTTAAATCTTAAATCATCCAATTTTAATCCTACTTCCTGTACTTAATATAAAAGTTTGTTTAACTTTTAGTTTAGTTTTAAATATAATATTTCAATCCACTTTATTTATCATATTATCCATTTTTTCTTAAGGTACTTCTTGTCATAATGTTAGTTCTAGCTAATACACTTAATTAATAAAAATAATTTAGGAAAGACAATACATATTTTTTTTATAAATAACAAATTTAATTAATTTTACCTCTAAAACCTCTCCTTAATTTAAATAAGAAATAAAATAGGGAAAATTAGGGAGAGGGACCCCGTGGCAACAATATTTATGGGAAAAGATCTTAAAAATTGTATTTATTTGGAAGGACCAAATACTAAAATATAAATTTAAAATTACCAATTTGCCCTTAAGAAAGTCCCATATATTATCTCTCACCACATCCTATAATTTTCTTTTTTAACAAAATAATTAAAGTTTTTCAAATTAATTCAAACTAATTGGAATTACAAAGTTATGAAACAACTCTAGCTAATTAAATTAAATTCAATTAATAAGTAACACTTACTAATTTATTTGTCCATCATTTTTAAAAAAATAAACTCTTTTTCTAGGCTTCCTGAATAATGAGCCAATCAAAATCATATAGTTGAATTAAAAAATAAAAAAGTTAAATAATAATAAATAATATATAACTTATCCATAATTAATATGAATAAAAAATATCATGTAGGTTAAAACTTGAATTTTCTTACTTAAATTATTATAACTACTTTTATTATGACAAATATTTATTGATATAATGCATTTTTTATGTCACTTTTTATTTTAAATTTTAAATTTTATTAAGTAAGAGGATTCAACTTATTCAAATAAAATAATAGTATGCAATGGATAAGCAAAAATATGGAACAACTTTTTTTTCCACTGTGAATCATAAAACTGTCCTGCACATTTCTCAGAAAACCTACAAAAAAATTATTAATTAAAAATAATAGAAAAATAAATTAACTAGTGTTGGCTATTAATTTAATTAATTAGAATCAGTGTTTGATCTTGAAGTTTAAATTAGTTTGAATTAATTCAAATATACTGTACTTATTTTACTAAATGATATGAAAATTATAGGACGTGATGAGAGAATATAAGGATGATTTTAGTCTTTTTCAAGTTTATATTTAATATTTGGCCCTTCTAAATACCCATCGTCCGTGGGTTCAGTTGGCGAAAGGGTGAGACATATGACCAAGTTGGCATGTGTTCGATCCCTGGGGAGTACCACTTTGTTGTGGTTTCAGTCGCGGCGCTTGGGGAGGCATCCTAGCTTTTGGGTGCTTAGGTAAACGCCTGAGGGTAATTGACGGCTTGCCCTGCCCAACATTGGTATGACCTAGGAGGAAGGGAGATTTTGCCTTGCTTTTGGATCGTGGGTGAACCCAACTCCTTTCCAAAAATTTGTTTATCAAAAAAAAAATTTGGCCCTTCTAAATAATTAAGGTTTTAAAGCCCTTTCTAATAGACATGGTCCCTCTCTCTAATTTTCCCAATAAAATGCCGGAGATGGTGTTGATGATACTAGCCATGAAACTGGAATCTCATTCGGCGCTGATCACGCTCGCACTTTTTTCTCAATTTCAAAATTCGGGAAAAAACGACCAAGGTTGGCACAAGGATCAGTGTAGGAGCTTCTGAGAAATTCTGAAGCTTCGTTTCGCGGCAAACAGACCAGGAATCAAAATGGTACGCTACCTCTCTCGCTGGTATTGGCCCACCCTCAATTTCTTCTTTGTATCCTCCTCTTTTCCTTAACAAATCCGCATGTCAGTCTGTCACTCTGCACACCAACCTCGGCGACATTAAGTGCGAGCTATTCTGCGACGAGGTCCCCAAGGCCTCCGAGGTCAGTTCTTGAACGGAAGCACTATTTTGTCCCCCCCCCCGGCCCCTGGTGTTTTTAATTTGACGGCAAAAACAGGGGAGAGTTGTTCCCTCCGTGTTTCAGCTCTTACAACTTTTTTTCGGGTTTCATTTATTTTTGGTGGGTTTTTTTTTGTTTGTTTATTTCTTTGGTTTCAGTATGTACTTTAACCGGGAGAGTCGTTCACTTCGGGTGAAACTGATGTTTCAGTTCTTGAAGCTGATTGTTGACTATGTTAGCCTGTGGGGTTAGTTTAATATCAATTAGGAAGCAGCTTGTGTCATTCGAGGGGTGATGCAAATTATCACACTTAATTATTCCCCTTGAGATAATCATATGGATTCTCCAGACTCCTGTCGAATGGAATTGCAAATGTAGTTGGCATATCATTTCTCAAGATAACGGTGGCTTTGACGGTACATTTTGTTGGAAATACCATAAAGTTTCTTTACGTTTAAGATTAGCAGCATCCAACTTCATTTGGGGATCGTCATACTTTTTGGCTGAGTTTCTTGGCGATAAAAGCTTTGACAGAGGAGATGGATTTAGTGTATTTTTCACTTTATCTTTTGTCCTTTCACTTTGTTGTATTCTTTACTTCACCATCAGTTGTTTCTTCAAATTACTACTATAAAACCTTTCAATTACTGCACCATTTCATATGGCTTGAGCTTGAGATCTTTATTTTGCATTTATTCCTTGTTTTCCTCGTTGGTTGAAAAAAAACGAATATGATGATTGTGTTTGATGTTTTAATCTAGCTCTTCTATGGTTCTATTGATAAGCGCAGTAAATAATGATTTTCATATGATGTATTTCAATCCAGAATTTTTTAGCACTATGTGCAAGTGGTTACTATGATGGGACAATTTTTCACCGCAACATCAAAGGTTTTATGATTCAAGGTGGAGATCCAACTGGTACTGGCAAAGGGGGCACCGGTATATGGGGCAAAAAATTTAACGATGAGATTAGAGAATCTCTCAAGGTTAGTCCACTTACCTGGCAAATTACCCTGAGGCCCCCTTATCAGTTCCTTGTCTTCTTTTAGCTTCATATCTGGCATGGTCTTGTGCAAATGAAAAGAGGGAAAAAGAGAGGAGGCAAAAGAAATGAGTGTTTATTTTTTCCTGGATCATGCACATTTAAAGAGTGGACCATGATATAGCGTGTTAAGTACAATGTGAAGTTAAAGGAAACCCGGAGCTTTGTATTGGAGCTTTGTATTGTACCAACCGATCATCGATACAGTTTTAAGCTTGGTAATTTAAGTAAGCTCATTTTTTGTTTTGGAAAAGAATACCGCATTATCTTTTATGTTGTTCACCATAATTAAGATTGCACGCTGGTGATTTTCTTTATTGGCCTTTATTTTCCTTGTTTTCCCTTTTTCCGCTTTTATGTTTTCTTTCCTTATCTAGTTGGGTTTTGTTCACTGTTGCTTCCTAATTAGAGTTTTATTTATTAGGATGTGTTGGATGGCTATGTGGCTAGGAAATCTCTACACTTTATATAGTTTATACCAAAGTTCTATCAATAATATGACCTGTTTAGAAGAAATTACAGATCTTTCTTCTCTCTGACATAGAGGACAAGTTACTTTATCAGTCATGAATCCTTTTCTTCTTTCTCATCCCATCATCTCAACTCACATGTAAAGTTGGCAGCCGCTTGATCTATACAAGGTACACAAACGGTCTTGACTGCTGATGCTGCTTGCTTGCATCAGCTGAAGTTGAAACCAAGGATTTATTAATTACTCTTGGGCTAGTTTTGTAGAGGTTATTGGGAGAATTATGTGTCTGGATCCTTTGCTTTCCCATAGAGAAGTATTACTTATAGTCAAAAGGGAGGACGATAGAAAATCTTAGGCACTCCTAACATGCAGCGCAGATTTCTGATCGCTGTGCTCTAGTGATTAGAAGCTCCTAAACAAGGGATGAGGGGAAGAAAAACCAGGGAGGCGTTATTGTGAACACTGCAATGCGTCTGGGCACTCTATTTTAGGTGCTGTGAGTTGCCTGGAAAGTCTTGCTTAGAGGCAGGCTGAGAGACAAGAAGTGCTTTGGCATTTTGTGACTGGTGAAGACCAAAAACAAACTGAAAATCCCTCAATTAGTGGAGAACTATTTGATATGATATATGATTTGCCGTCAAAACTGAGACTGACAAAGTGGTAAGAACAATAATTATTACTCATACAGGTAATTTTTCTAATGCTTTAAATACTCAAGTTCAGCAAGGTAATGCCTGGGTGGTGGGCTCTGGTGCCACAGATTATATGATAGTTAATTCTTGCCCTGTGCATTTTGTTCCATGTTGCTTAGAGCTAGCTGTAAAAGTTGCTGATGATTCTCTCATAGCAGTTGCTGAAGTTGTTACTGTGCAATTGAATTATTCTCTTGGCCTAAAGAGTTCCTCTAGTGCCCTAGCTGACATGCAATCTACTTTCAATAAGCAAGCTCTTTAAGGAATTGAATTGTGCTACTCATTTTTTCTTTGGAGGCTGCAAATTTCAACCCTTGGAGCTCCGTAGGATGATTGGTGTGGTGTTCAGGAGTGTTTAGGCCTCTACACAGTAACTCTTTCTATAAGGATCAATTTTGGTGATGATATGATTTTGATTATCGTTCTGGATATCCCAATATTTAATAACTCAGGAATAGGTGCACACCTATTTATTCTATAAAAATTATATGTTTTCAACATTAGGTGTTCCATTTGTCCAAACATTAGCTATTCTTGTCCAACACATAATTATATTCGTCCAAAACCTTTCTTAGTTTTGAATCATTTGAAATCAAATTCCTTTTTACCATTAAGTTTCTTAAATTTGAAGAAAGTTGTTTAGTGCTATTCTTGGTGAAGTTTTAAGAGAAAAAAGTATATACTATGAAAATTCATGTTTTAATAGCTCTCAACAGAACGGGGTCTTTCTGCTGACAGGATTCTCTCTTACTAAAATTCGATATATATTGCTTGCTGATTCTTAGGGATTTATTTTCCAAACTTGATTTTCCTTTATTTCGTACTCCATAAATATCTCTCCTGGATCACATTTAATTTTTGATTGCATCTGACCCTATATGTAATTTGCTCTTATCCTAATGACATTGTAGAAAACTTCTCCATTTTTCCACCTTCGCAGAAAGATAAGAGCCTTCTGGAACTTACTAAAAGTGCTGTTTCCAATGGCAACTTATCTGAACAGTAGACTTTTAACCACATAAATGACCCTTTATGATTCCACTCCTAAGATTCCATTTGAGCATTCTAATCCTCATCTCTCTACCACCAAAAAAGTCTTGGTTACACCGCTCTCGTGCATATCTACGATTGAGGCAAACTTGACCTGGCTTCACTGAAATATTTTATTCTTAATTATTCTCAAAAAATGGGGTATAAGCTCGATTTTCCCATCATAAGATGGTTTTTCATTGCCGTGAATATCATTTACTCGAAACACAACCTTCCATAATACATTTATTTATGGGGAGAGCCAAGCTGATTGAGCTTTTCTTCGAATTCTTTCATCTCCATCTAAACGGGTGAAGTAAGCTATCAGGAGACCTGTTCTTTTATGACCAAGTCTAATTTTGATGAGAAGGCAAATGCTATTTCATAGAAACAATTAAGTAGGTGCAAACAATTTAAAGAACCTGCTCTACATGGGTCCTGTTGATACAAGCAGAGAAACTACTAACATTAACTATCCAACCATAGAAGAATGAAAAAGGAGAAATAATGCTACTAATGTCTTCTGATAGAATACACTCCTTTTACCTATAGCTTGGGAAGCAACAAGGCGTTCTAGATCTGGCATGAAATCCTTAGGTGCGATCTACCATAGAAGATTTATGAATTCCCAAAGTGTTGATCACTTAGTTCTCATGATCTGTGGAGACTCTTGATCCTTCTCAATAGAAAAGTGAAAAGCATAGCTGCCAACCACATGAACTGATCTTCCTGGCTTTACTCTTTTTTTTTGTTTGGTTTTGTTTTGTTTTAAAAAAATCTGTGCTTCTAAGAGCATTGCCACACACCATGGTTAACCGTTATTGAGTAGATAGGAATATGGAATGAATTTCTCTTGTTATTTGTTAGGTGAAAGTTACAATGCTTTATATATGTACACAAAGGTAAGTGAAAGCTGAATAATTCTGTTTATTCACTTAATTGAATCAAAGAGTACGGCAGAATAAATAGATAAAAGGTTCTCTCAATAATAGGAGAGAGAGAATCCAAGATACTAGGAATAATAATGACCTAAGATTGAGGACTAATAAAGACCTAAAATCAAATTCAAATACATAATCAGATTAGATTTGATTACTCTAACAGCTGTAACTTAACCTAGATTAGATCTAGGGTTTCTTGGCCCAAAGGCCCAAATAGGGTTCTGCACTAACACTCTCCCTCAAGCTGGCAAGTAGATGTCGTACATGCCAAGCTTGCCTCTAAAGAACTCAAACTTGCTTCTGTCTAGAGGCTTTGTAAGAATATCTGCCACTTTAAGATTTGACCTTATGTAGACCGGCTCAATTATATTTGCTTCAATCTTTTCTTTTATAAAGTGCTTGTCAATGTCCACATGCTTGGTCCTATCATGATGGATTGGGTTGTGAACCATTTGTAGAGCTGATTTGCTGTCACACTAGAGTTTGAGAGGTAGGTTAGTATCCATTTTCAGTTCTCCTAGGACTTGGGTTAGTCATATTCCCTCACAAACTCCATTAGCAAGAGCCCTTAGCTCAGCTTCAGCACTGCATCTTGATACTGTTGTTTGTTTCTTGCTTCTCCAAGTAACCAAGTTATCCCACACAAAGGTAAAGTATCCTCCAGTAGACCTTCGGTTCACTTTGTCTTTTCCATGATCCGCATCTGTATAAACCACAATGTCTCGAGAGGTTCCCTTAGTGAAGAAAATTCCTCTTCCAGGGGTCATCTTTAGATACCTGATACCTTAGGATGGTATATATGGCTTCCATATGCTGTTGTGGTTGAGATGAAAATTGACTTACCACACCTACAGCATAATTTATGTCTGGTCGGGTATGAGACAAGTAAATTAACTTTCCGACCAATCTTTTGTACCTTTCAGCAGCTACAGGCACCCTATCCTTCTTGTATTCTAGACTGGTAGACGAATCCATAGGAGTTGAGGATGGCTTAGCTCCCAGCATACCTGTTTCCTTAAGCAAGTGAAGATTGTATTTCTGTTGAGACACAGATATTCCTGCCTTTGACCGAGCCACTTCCATTCCCATAAAGTATCTGAGGCTCCCAAGATCCTTTACTTCAAATACAGCTGCAAAGCTTTCTTTAGTTGCTTGATTTCCTCCAAATCATCCCCTGTCATCACTATATCATCAACATATACTATTAGAATGGAAACTTTGGACCCGGAGTGTTTCACAATGAGAGTGTGATCAACTTGGCATTGAGCATAGCTTGAGCTTCTCACGACTTTCGTGAATTGTTCAAACCAAGCTCTGGGTGATTGTTTTAACCCATAGAGGGATTTGTGCAGCTTACTTGCCATACTTCTGTCTCCAAATTCTGCAATTCCTTCAAGAACCTTCATATATACTTCTTCTTCAAGATCCCCATTGAGGAAAGCATTCTTCACATCTAATTGATGTAGTGACCATTCAAGATTTGCTGCCAAGGATAATAAAATCCTTATTGTATTCAACTTGGCTACAGGGGCAAAGGTTTCTTGATAATCAATTCCCTGTGTTTGTGAATATTCTTTGGCCACTAGGCGAGCGTTAAATTTACTTACTGTTCCATCAGCATTATATTTAATGGTAAACACCCATTTACACCCCACTGCCTTCTTACCTTCAGGTAATTTTTCAACCGTCCATGTTTGATTTTTATTCAATGCATTTAGCTCTTCATTGATCGCTTCACGCCACCTAGGATCTTGCACTGCCTCTTCAAATGTTGGAGGAATTTTTTCTTTATCCATCTTAGTGACAAAAC